TAGTAATTATATTCCATATGCTATGCTATGACAATTTTGATTTGATGTTTTGGAAAATGCACAATATTATGTGAGAATGAAGAGGGACACAAACAAAGCAGGCTTGGCATTAGCTCTCACAGGTTCAAACAATTATAAGAGAGATGGCAAAGTTCAGTATTATATATAGGGTAAAAAGATCTGGTTTAGATACGAACTTTACTGTTGGACACTTTGTTTTTCTTTCCTTATCAAATGCCTCCCACCTTTCATTGACTATTCCTTGATGAGCAACTAATTTAAAGACTTTGAGTTAATTTACTCCACACTGTATTTTTTTTTGTCCATACTTTGTGCAGTATCTGCTATATGATAAATCTATAATATTTGGCCTTTTGAGTTACATCTGCATTGGAAAAGGCCAACAGCTCTGGATTCAACATATGAACTGAGAGTCGTCTTGTTTTCCACCCAGATCCTGAAGCCCAGCTGTTAATTGCAGACAAACAATCAGTTCCTGACAGTGGGATCTGAAGTTTGCCTGTGGGCTGTTTGCCATATCAGGCAGAGGTACCTTAGAAGAACCCTCATTAAAGCATACTCTACTGCAATTAGGCCAACCTGGCCCAGGAGAGTAGAGTTTAACTTAATTCCTAACATACTATTGCATCTGGTGAAGACAGTTTTGTTGAATACATACTCACACCTGTAAAGGAGTTTAATCAACAAAGCTTGCAAGATGTTATTGAAAGCCAAATAAAATAAAGGTGAAAACCTTGCTTGTTATCCCAGGCCAAGAGCCAGTTTTGGCAAGGTCAGCAGAGCCACAGGCACCTTGTTGGCAAAAAGAGTTGTGGAAGTTTTAACATGTGATGGAGAAATCGCAGTATGTCAAGCCTTCACAATCAAATGGAATGACCTGACAGTGAGAAATGAAGCATTTTTTTCCAAGGGTATATATTACCACTATGACATATTCTACACTTGGTTTCCCTAAAGCAGGAAAACCACAAAAGTAATAAGAAAACTCTATCAAGCAAAGAGTCAGTAAGAAATCGGAAAAGAACTCATTTTAACAGAGCCAACAGAGGAAAGGCAAAAGTGAGTTAACTGTAATAAAAGTGATTTGATGCAACTGTCATACAGCTCTGTTCTCAAAAAAACCCCAAAAAGTAATTCTTCAGACAAACACCATTCTTCAGAAATAAGAAATGTCTCTAGCCTGCAGGACCTTCCTGAAAATGGTTAGGGACTATCCAAGTTTCAAAATACTCTTAAAAGTGGAAAAGTAATCATGCTTTAGAGAAGCGTTGTTGGTCCAGAAATTCACTGTTATTAAAATGGGGGACTTGTGGTTACCAATACAACTGACAGTCTGCCATTTGTACAGTGCCTAAAATATAATCTCTACATTTTAACTTGTTTTGTGAATATCACTTAACATACAGCTATATGGACACAGAGATGCATTACTGCGTACCCCCAAAGCAGTGAAAGCAAAACAACAACAACAAATGTCTCAACTTTCACCTTGAATGTCTCTATTGTTTTCAGTTGCTTGCATGCATGCCGAAGCCTACACTAGTAACCTCTGGCTCTTTGGCAGTATGAACACTTTTTCAAATATAAGAAAGCATTTCATTAAAAAAAAAAAGAAGCAAGAAGACCATGACAATTAACATAACAATCAACATATTTACCCCGCGATTGTATGAGAAAACTTAATTTAATGATGTGGAGCATTAAAGAAACTGTGCATTTTATGCACAACTTTGTAGCTTATTACATGTATGTTGCCATGGAGCAAATGCAGTTTTTTCAATTTCCATTCTTGCTACTAAACAACTTGGAGCTTATCTGAAATCTCTGCAATGCATCTCAGGATAGGAAATTAGCAACTAGCCTCTGTAGGGATTAATAAGACCTTAGGCCCACTGTAGGAGAGGATC